ACCTGAAACCTACCCCATGCCCCATCTTGATTTTTTTTTAAATAAAAAACTCTACATCCTTTAGTATCATCCGAAAGACAATTTTTAAATAATTCCTATTCTAAAAAATCAATTTTCCTATTTTCTATTTAAGAATAGTAAAAGAATCGGCATGAAGTATAACAAAAAATATCATACAGGCTTAGTCTTAAATTAATGCAAATTTTTTCTTCTTACAGTGCCATACTCTATACCGGGTGTTGCATCGCCGAGCGGGACATAGGGAATCCCATGTAAATTTTAATGGGGTCAATTATTGCCTTCCCTAATTATTTTAGAGAATAATTCTGTTTAGGTTTATTGAAGAGCACTAAAACCCACATTCAAAAGAATAACTTTAGATATTTTTGATTAGCCCGTTTACGAGTTATCGCCGATTTATTTTTAAATATTTCTCCTTTCTTATGGCCCTGTATTTACTTATGAGCACCAGTCAAGGTAAAAGATAACTGTCAAATGAAGTTGTCATTTCAGAAATTTATCTATTCAGTGCTTTACAGTGCTTTATTAATATTATTAAAAACTCGAACCTACATCGAAAATATTAGCAATTATTATTTTACCTGCTTTACATGATGCCGCTAGGAAAAATCAGGAAGTTTGGTACCAAATGGATGGCTGCCCGGCACATAGTACAAGATTTCCGATGTAGGAATGAGTTTTCAATAATAATAAAGCATTAAATAAGCTAAATTTCTGAAATGACAACTTCATTTGACAGCATCTGTTACCTTGACTGGTGCTCATAAGTAAATACAGTGGGCAATAAGAAAGGAGAAATATTTAAAAAATCGGCGATAACTCGTAAACGAGCTAATCAAAAATATCTAAAGTTATTCTTTTGAATGCTGGGTTTAAGTGCTCTTCAATAAACCTAAATAGAATTATTCTCTAAAATAATTAGAAAGCCAATAATTGACCCCATTAACATTTACATGGGATTTCCTATGTCCCGTCCGACGATGCAACACCCGGTATAGAGCGTCGGCTACCTTTAGCATGTACTTGTGATGTGTGTCATCAGTGTTTCACAAGTACACGGGACCTACAGTTTATTACCGAATCCGAACGGCACTATTTGAGAAGCTGTACAATATACTATAAATACTGTAATGCAAATTTTTTAGGGGTAGTATATTTCGACCCCAGAAGTATGTCTATGGTTGCAGCCTAACTTACTCAACATTTAAGCAAAAATCATTTTTCAAGTGAAACTTATTTACGCGCGTTGGGAGTCAAAATTCAAGGCCTTGACTCAATGCTGAGTCACTCTATATTTTTATTTAAAAAGGCAATAATAGATGTCTGATAAGTTATATTTTTTTTAACATTTTATGTGATTAATTTTTCGGATTTTTCCAATTATTTATAAAATGTGATTCCTATCCAAGAAAATTGTGAATTGGAATTTAGAAATAAATTCACACATTTACCACGTTACACAAAAATTTGTGTTTTAAACTCTAGATTACAGTTGGAGGTTGGAATCTTTTGTGTTATATTAGTAAAATAAATCACTAATTCACCACAATATACCAAAACACTAAACTTTTAAACTCTGGACGCATGTTTTGCTAACCATATTGGCATCATTACCAGATGATTTAAACTTAAAATTTTAATCCTCTGCCGATGATGCTAACATTGTTAGCCGTTGTTAGTTAAACAATATTTCAGTTTATTATTTAAGTATTTTATAAAAGACATTTTGTAGATAGAACTATATAAAATATAGATTTTAAATTTATAAACTTCTTTACCGCGCGCTGGGAGTAAAAATTCACGCCGTGACGCACGAGCCAGCGCGAGACGAAAAGTGGTAAGGACAGCCTAAGCTTAGAAATACGTAGTGACGCAAAATGTATTTGTGAGCAATCCGCGTGTTTATCAAAAATACTGATGTTTTAATACAATTCTTGTGAAAGTGAATCAAATTATTTTTATTAGATGCTACAGACTATACATAATTACTATACAATACAGACGGACAGACTAGTTTCATTTAGCGGTAGTGTAGCCAAAGCTAACCGATTCGGGGTAGATCTACCCCTTTGTAAAACAATTTAACACCGCTATCTCATGACCACGATGAAAAATAAACTTGTGGCAACACTGGGTAACGATCTGTGCCATACGCGGCTAGCGGCTAAGAAAATCATTATAGTAAACTTGATACTGGACCAACCTTGATGTGCACCAATATCCTCTGGTTGTGTGCTGAGAAGAAAATTTTCATGCATATTTTCATCGATAGGTTTGTAGCTTCTGAATAACGGTCCAGGTAAATCATCATTCATTGGCCAGCTCAAAATTTTAATTTAGAGTTTGTAACTTGTATTTTCATTGCAGGGCACTGTCATATTTATTTCAAACAAATAATTAGCGAGAATATTCGTATAATTTAATAAAATTACTGTAAATCATTATAAATAATGAATAATAAACAAAACATTTAAACAAAAACAGACCACAGACCACACAAAATAAATTGTTGGTTAATAGTAGTCAGAGATATAGATGTAGTAATATTTTGGTTTAATGGCCACAGCTGCCAGGGCTGTCCGGTCGGATGATCGAATTATCGTTTTCTAATAAAAAAAGCTAAAAAACATAAAATTAGAAAGCTAGAACAGTTTTATATTAACTCTAATTTTTTGGAGGTTTATAAAAAGCATGCATAAAAAAATATATAACCTTCATATCCTTCAATTTAATAGCTGTTAGTAAAAAGTTTAACTTCAAATATGCGCACATAGTGCACACACTTTTTTTTAATTTTCAAAAGAGGTTTTCGGAATTAATAATCCTAGATTGGATAGATCCCGTCAGCTGATTACAGATTACTTCTTAACTGGTGGTCAGTTGTTTGACGTTTACGAACGCTTAGATCCCAACTTGGGTCAATCTATGATCATCAGATAAACCGAGATAAACTTTTAAATTGTGACTTCTAAAAAGTGTTAAAAGCTTTGTCTGGTCTCCGGTCTTGTTTATGCAAGTGGTTTTCTTTGAATTCATATTTTTTCGGTTTTTCTTCAAAAGTAAAAATGGATAAAATGTTGCTGCTTTTTTATTCAAGATCAAATTTTTAACGATGAAGATGATGACGACGATCAAATGGTTTTTTTTGCTAACTGAGGGCCTTTTAGTCTCAAAGGAGAAAAGGCTTCCAGATTTCTAATTATTATGAAAACCATACCAAAATACATGGACGACGGTAGGACTCTCACATATAACAATTGATTTTTTACTGTTGATATCTCATTATTTTAGATTTCAAAGCTCATTTCCGCATAAAAGGTCAACCGTAGAAGTTTTATTGTGTAGTTTGGGGCCTCATTTTACTCGGCAATCTGGGAGGCCCAGTTACCATTAAAGCAAACAATTGTTACTTTCTATCTGGTATTTAAGTAACCAGGAGGTTTTTAGGTGAGTTGAAGTTTTTAAGTACTAATGAAAAGTAGTTATTTTAGTAGTGAACCATTGTTTTTCATTTCTTTGACAACAAAGCACATAAAGTTTTTAAAATTGATTTTGTAGGTCTATTTCTGATCGTTTCGATGTATCAAAAAGCACAGCATATGAATGTATTGGCAGATTCTTAAATGCAGTAATGGCTATAGCTAATGAATTTATCAAGTGGCCTAGTCATGCAGAAGCCCAAAGAACTAGTTTACATTTCAGGGAGCAGAATGGGTTTCCTGACATAATTGGCTGCATTGATGGCAGTCATGTTCCCATTGCAAAACCTAAAATAAATGACTCATACATAAACAGAAAGGGCTACCACTCTATAATTTTACAAGGAATCTGTAATAGAAAAATATGAATTTATAGATGTTTCTTGTGGTGGGTTAATAAAATATATCTATATACATCTTTTTTAAAATAAACCTAATTTTATTTATCAAAATAAGAAGTTTTAATTATCCAGACTATTGTAGGTTTAAAACATTCAAAAAATCAACTGTTTGTTTGAAACAAATTATGTAATTATTTCTCTAGGTTGGCCAGGTAGTATGCATGACGCCAGAGTCTTGAGGAAGTCAGACTTAAAAATGACAGAAAATCCTGCAGCATTATTTTATGGAAATTTCCATCTACTAGGGGATTCAGCTTATCCTCTTAATAATTATATTTTAACACCATTTAGGGATAATGGGCACCTAAGTGCAAGGCAAAAAAAATTTAATAAAAAGTTATCATCTATCAGAATAATCATAGAACATGTTTATGGTATGCTAAAATCAAGGTTTAGAATTTTAAAGTATGTTAACAGGTATTTAACAGTGGACATACCAAAGCTTACTTTGGTGTGCTGTATACTTCATAATGTTTGTATGAAGCAGAATGACAATGTAGAATTAGAAGATAATTTAGAACCAACTTTGAAGAAGACAATTATTATAGGGAAGAACAGGATCATGTAAGAGAAGCAAAAAGAAATTACATTTCTACTATTCTGTAATTCAAATTTTTTTGTTGTACTAAATTACTATAATGTATATTATTATATCTTGTATTTTTAAAATTCACTTGGTTATTTTCTTGGCAATTTAATGTTCTACAAATAATAATGTGCTTTGTTAAATTTCTGTTTAAAAGTGCCTGTTTATAAAAGTAAAGGTTGTACACTATATTGGTGTGAATAATGTTTTTGATAAAAATACAGGTGCACTTATTAATATGTTTTATTTTACAGCAACATTGCAACTATTTCTTAATATAAAAATATATATACTGTTATATAATTCGCTGTTATTTATTCTTCACTCGAACATGAGAATCCCAAATAGACAAAGACTCCCCCATAGGGTATAACTTTTTTTATATAAATAATTAGTATTTTTTACTTTGACTTATTCACATATTCTCTAAATATGTCCAGAAACTGCTGCTGTTTCTCCATTCTCTCCCCTATAGCGAGACTCCATTTCTGCTCTCACCTCTTTAAACCATTCAGGTTGTCCTAAAAGTTTTCTAGAATCTCCAATTTTTACCTTTTTTTTTTAGGGGTTTCAGATATATTTTCACTGTCTGAAGTATCCTGACTATCAGGACTTTTAATAAATCCCAAGGTATTTGATGCAATACTCATTGGGCTATTTTCCGGGTCTCGACCAAAAATTTCATTCATACTTGTAAAATATGGCCAAGTGATTTTCCCTCGACCAGTTTTACTGTTATTGTCAAGAATGGATTTATAACTCTTTTTTAGATTTTTTATTTTGCTCTCCACTTGTTCAGTTGTAAATCTTGAGAAATGTTTAGAAATTTCAGCATAGATTGACTTGCTTTTATATTTTTTGTCATTTAATTTCTCAAAATTGGTTTTAAACAGCTCTATTAATAATTTTGTTTCTTTATCTGACCAACGTGATGAAGCTAAAAACAATATGAGTATTTATTATAAATTCTCTATTGCATTAGTAATTTTTACCATTAAAATCAGTTAACATTGATGAATTTTCATAGAGAGATCCTTCTGCTGAGCTTTCCATTTCAATATAATTTAGTACATCATCTGTTTCCTCATTTAACACTGATACTGAAAATCATAGTCAAATTTAATATATCTGCATATATGATTCTGGAAAAAAATATTTAACTTCACAGAATTAAGTAAAACTGGAAATGGTACAATACTCAAGTGTTTACAGTAGTAGAAAAAAATTGAATAAGACTACCTGTCCTGTTACTTTGTTTGTTACAAAAATAGCTACAACTAGCTTTTAGTGCTAGATTACTGTCCTAAGTCCCTTGAACTTTATCTCTTTGACCAATGCTGCTAGTTTTTGGGTCATCGGCTTTCTCATTTAATAGAAGCTGATAGGCTAAGAGCCTATTCTTCCTTTCAATCTCTTTTTGCAAGTAGATATTAGCCAACTGATAATCTAAAAAAGATTTGGATAATTATCTACCACCTAAAATACATAGAACTACCTAAAACACATTATTTTTAAACCCTTTGTTAAGAAAAGTTTTATACTTACCTCCATTTATTATTTTCTCATAATCTTCATCAGACGCTGGTATATTGTATTCCTCTCCATCTTCATCCTGAAGAGAGATAATTTTCATTTTTTTCTGCTTTATTGCTAACCGAAAATACTCTATTATCTTTGTCGGAAACACCAATTTCGGTACAAATACAAGTACTAATCCTAATATAGGAACACCCCCCATACAGGAAAGAACCAGAAAGGACTATAGAAAACATCAGATAGCCGCCAAAAACTACAAAATTTTCGAGGTTAGATTAAACAGCTGTTTTAGGATTTTTCTTTTACCCACTAAATTGGTAGGGTAGGAAGGATCACATCATATGATTAAAATCCGATCCATTTTTATGCATTCCGAACGATTATATCTGAAATTGGATTACATTTCGAACGTAAGGATCTCTAATCCATATGATCGAATTAACCCGATCATAGTTTCCGAAAACCCCTAAAGTAAAATAACTAGGTTATTTTGGACTTATTTGAAACACGGTACCAGAGCTTGTACAGAGATCTACTTGCACTTATTTAAGACTCACCCTGTATAAACAGAAATGGAAAAACCTTTCAAGATACAGAATGTTAAAAATAAAATATTTCAAGTAAATGCTTTTTTCAAAATGAAAATTATTTTTGTAATCTCTCCATAGTTTGTCAATGCCATAGATGATGTCATGGCATATTTCTGTCTGACGAACTAATATAATATGTAATATAACTAATATAAAATTATATAATCTGTATCTAATAAAAAGTAATGAAAGAAGCGTCAAATAAGCGTTTAGTTTAAAAATTTGCGGCTTGTGCAGGAAATAAAATAATGAATTAAGATTAAAAAAACAAAATGTTTAAAATACATCTAAAATTACACTTTGTAAACAAAATTGTCCGCCTCAATTATGATTTCAAAACACTACCACAGACTGCTTTCAAATTATGACAAGAAGCAACAATTTGATTTAAACCTTAAAATGTATTACAATACTAAAAAGAAAACAGCAGTTGGATAAAAAATGAGAAAGTGATAAAAATTGAAATTTTAGGGTAGTGAACTTTTATGCCTGGAGGTGTATATTGTTGATATATTTTTAAAAATATATTTTAAATTATTAAATAAATAAGAAAATTTACTTCAAAGAGATATATAAAATTGTTCCAAGAAAGTATCGTAGCATTTGATAAGCAAATATAAATTTCCAATCAAATAAATCTTAAGACCTCAGAGAAATATAAATAAAATTATTTTATGGAAAAGGGATTTTAAATTTACCGAAAATATGGGTTGAACAAAATATATTTTCTTTCCATGTTAGATGTATACATTCATCGTACATTGATCTTATTCTCAAAATATATTCCGTTTCCTACAAGAGTTTTTACTCCAACATCATGGGACCTTTTACATTTTCTATTTTTTTTCTCCGACTGTCTCCTGTTTGGTCTCTCTGGATTTTAGAAAAGACGAACAGGATCGATTGTATATTATTGTTTCTCTTGAGTGGAAGAAACTGGAATATTTTTATTTTTCTATCCGGATTGTTTTACAATAAAAATTCTTAAGTTGTCTATGCATAGGTACTATAACTTCTTATTTTTCGGACAAAAAAACGAAATTTGGTATGTTAGTGTATGACATAATTGAGGATTAATTGTTGTATTCGATTATTTGCGCTTACTTCTTGTTTCACCGGAAATTACTACCTACAACTTTTCATTTTTAAATAGTACCCTCGGTATTTTTTTAGTTTGTTTGACAGAAAATGACATTCTAGATCGAGTAACTAGTGATGTAAAGGGTAATATTACCGCGGTAATATTACCGGTAATTTTGGTAATATTACGTAATATTACTGCAAAATCGGTAACATTGGAAATACTGATTTTTTTCCGCTCTACTCTTTTCTTGTTTTTGCAAAACAAGATGGGACTGCTTGGTTTCTTGTCTAAAAAGCTTTTTGGGCACTAAATAGTCATTAAAAAGCTTAGCAATTGATGATAGCCCAGATATTTCTGATGTTCTTTCACCAAACACAGTAAGCCTTCTGATTCCAAACGAATTTTGGCTACAAATACAAGCAACTTATGACTTGTTGAAGCCAATCTCTAAATGGATAACGATATTTGAAGCTAACTGGCCAACAAACTCAAAAGGTTTTACCTGATTTTATGAAATAAGGTTAGGTTAGGTATGTTAGGTTTATTATGTATCAAAGTATCATATTCATCTGTTGCTAGGTAGGAAAACAAGAAAATGTGTGCAATTCTGGAAAACGGGCAAGTAAATGTTTAAGACCTGCTCATCTTTCTGCTTACCTATTATAACCAAATCTACGGAGCGAAAATTTAACTGAAGATGAAAATCTAATTACAACAGAGTTCACCTATGAAATTGCAAGGCATCATCCAAAGTATGTTTCACAAGTAGATCTTAATATGGGGGCACTGACTGGCACAATACAAAATTAGAGGTAATATTTTTGCTAAAGAATTCGTCCTTTTCGGCAAAAAATCTATGTCTGGACCTGTCTAATGGGTAGGAATTTGCTCCAGCTCTGATATAAATATGTTGGCTACAGACAATTTAAATTTACCATTATAAATAGCCCCAACCGAAAGAACCTTTAGTACTTATGGATTTGTCTATCGACTAAGAAGAAAACTTATTTATATGCCCATAATTATAATTTATTAAATGGAGAAGAACATTTAAGGATGGTAGAGGCTTGTGAGAAAGAAATGGAAAAAGAAGATATCGATTTCGAAGTAATAGATTTTACTCAGTACTAAAATAATATACCTATGTATAATATATTAATATATTGTTGTTTCTTTAATATGACAAGATTAATAATGATCTACCATTGTCCACTCTATTACGTACTATAACATAGGCCACTCTGACTAGCTTAAAAAACGTTTTTGTCTTTTTTGTAATGTTTTTACGATTTTGAAATAAAAAAAATATTATTTAAGAAGCTGTTTTTTTATAAATTACCAATGTTATGGTAATATTACCGATTTATAAATTACAGGTAATTTTACACTACTAAGAATAACGTTTTATATGCCAACTTTTAGCATATTATGACAATTTGATTACTATACCATAACAAGTATGTGATACCAAATTGTTCTTTAAAAATGCATTTTCCGAATATGCTGATAAGCCACCGTCGTTATATTTGATAAAATTGAGTTATGATTAAAAATACAATTGGGGCATATTTTACACGACAAGGAAACATTAACTATGAAATATATTTTTCCAAGCCTTCATGATTAAAAATTAGTAGTGCCATTATAAAACAGCCATGAAACACTAACAATTTTAGAACGAGCAAAATTTTTTATAAAGAATGCATTTTTCTCAAAATGTTAATATTAAAAAAGTTTTTCTCTTATAAAGACGATCCGTATAACATGCTGTATAACTAAAAAATATAGAGCAGTGATGATTCTGTCACAAAAATACAGTCTTATAACAAGTTATCGACTGCTTTTTTGTAACAAAAAGCCCTTTCTCTAAAGTTTCTTAAAACACTAAAATATAAATATGTTACATCGCGTTCGAAAAGGATGAAATCCGACAATATTTTCCAAAAAAGAAAGTAAAACCTATAAAACTTTCACAAAAGTTTTAGCTTTTTTAAAAATCCTTCTTCGTGAACAACTGCTTATATCGCAATCAATTTCACGTTATGTTTTTCGGAAGCACGCCTAGATTTTCTAAAAAGTTTTCCGTAACATGAAAGTTTCTAAACTTTTTTTCTAAAAAACTGTTTAAAACGTTTGAAATTTTCTCTTTTTGGAATAATAAATCGAAAATAATAAATAGAAACTCTGTTGCACTTTGAATGTATTAAAAGATCTTTATAATTTGAGTTTGTTTTTCAACATAGGGTGGTTAAAAATAGAAATTTTATGTTTCACGATAATACAAATTAATAATAATTATAACAAAAGAAAATAATTGCTTTTATTTTTAACTGAATTAATATAAGCTTATATCGCTAACCATAAATAGAGTCACTCTCTTGGGAAATTTTTAGCTCATTCAACCATTTCCAATTATGGTGTAGCCACCCTCATATATTTAGATACTCCTTTTGTAGTTGGGTACAGTGTTGTCTATTGTTGGCTATGCGGTCCCAAGTTATCCCCGCTGATTTCCTAATATCATGGTCCCATCTCAAGTTTGGTCTTCTTCTAGGTCTCTTAATTCCTCGTGGGTACCATGCTGTAATTTTTTGTGGTTCATCTGTTGTCCGTCCTTCTTGCCAGATTTCCTGCCCATTGCCACTTAAGGGATTTCATGCTGTGGATGATATCTATTACCTGGGTCTTTCGTCGTATCCAGTCTATTCTTTTACGGTTCTTCCTTGGTTATTCCCAGCATATTTCGTTCCATTGAGCGTTGTGTGACCTGCAGTTCCTTTATAATGTCCGTTTTAAGTGTCCAGGTCTCGCATGCATAGGTCATGACTGGTAGTACATATTGATCGATTGTTTTCTTCTTTAGATAAAGTGGCATTCTAGATTTGAATATGATTGAGTTACACGCCTATACCGAAGATAATTAATATAGTGACTTTCTCGTTAACCATAATAGGTACTTAACCAATATAAATATAAAATAGAAATATTAGTATTGTAACTACCTCAAT